GCATGCGTGCAGTTGAGGCGCCTGTAAATTTTTGCTGTTGGCATTGGTGAGGACCATAAAGTCACATATCATGACATATTAACACATGTATATGTATACCTACATATATAGATAGAAAGATAAATATGTATATACGGTGAAGTTTTCTATATAAGTGGAGAGCGGGCCAACCTTAGCGCAAAAGACTTGTTCAAATCCGGATGTTTGCTTGCTTGGCGCGCTAAAACACCCTCCAGCCAAGTCGCTTTCCAGCCACCCCAAGTGGCCTTTCAGGGCTCCAGGCCTGCTTCCAGACCTCCTTCCCTCTCCCCAAAATGGCCGGTTCATGCACATCCAAGTCGATTCGCCGTCCAAACCGACTTTCGAAGATCGGTCCATAATGCGTCTCCCCCTTCCCTCCTCCCCCCTCCAGTGCCTTTTTTTCAGACGTTTCAAGGTCCCGCTAAAGGCTGGACGCTGGAGGAGGTGTGTTGGCTGGGAAGGTGGCTTGTTTGGCTGGACGGGGTTTGGCTGAAGGGGGTTTGGCTGGAGTGCATGTTGGCTGGGGGTTTGGCTGGAGGTTGGCAGGGGGGTTGGCTGGAGGGGGTTTTGGTTGGTTTCGGCTTGGAGGATTCTTAGAAATCCAGTCCTGCTGGTTTCCCGAGAAATGATTCGGGGAGTGTTGGGCTTGGGGGTTGTGGGTTTTGTGCTGAGGGCAGGGCATATGTGGATTGAAAAATTGGAGGTGCCCTGCGGGGTCGAACTTATGTTCGGCCCGATGCGGTTGACGGCCTGGTTCTAGGGGCTCTCTTCAACCAGCAAAGATTAGATGCAAAGCAGATTCCAACTTTCAGAAGTCATACTACAGGAGGACGCGCGCATAGAGGGTGGCAGGGGACCAGGTTCAGGACTTGCAGGTAACCACGTAAGTCGGGAGAAACAGGCCTAGTTCTAGGTCCAGGGACCAGGCTTGAGGGTGGGGGAATGAAGACATACATACAGCTTCAGGTTCTTTCAGGTTCTAGGACTGAAGGCTGCAGAGATGCGGCAGGCAGTGGGGCTTTCGATCGGATAGTCGGACTCATTTTCGGGAAGGCATCACCTCTTTTCCGGGTGACCAAATCTCCCCTCCCACTTGATTTTACAGCCATCCTACATCCGTGAGACCACGATTCACAACTTAGCATTCAAGCATATATCTTTCGAAAAACGTGTTTACGTCCTTCTGGGATTCAATGTGCTGATGTCTTTCTACTTCTGCGCAGTATACGATGAAGGGACACTTGCTTTGCCACAAGCCCTCAAGGCCATGCTGCCTAAGGCTGGCCAAGGACAACTGATAAATCCTGGGCGAGGCAAGATTGATGCTTAGGGTTAAGAGATTGGGCAA